ATACCAGCGACAGCAGCTCCCTGTTCACTCTAAAGTTGCCCTTGGCAATTTCCCGGTCTACCTCAACACAAAACGCCTCCTCGGGCCCGTATCCCACTCCCTCAACGCATTCTCCCCGCCCACCTCGGTATAGTACCGCACCTTCAACAGCCCCCTTCGCTCCGAAACACCGCTCTTACGATCGGTCCGCACAACCAGACACACAATCACATCCGGCTCGCGACGCTCAAACAAGTCGATGCGCCGCTTCTTAGCCGTCTTGCCCTTCTTGTCAGCGGCCTGGATGGCACGATACACGTCCCGCCGCGGCTCGCCGCACGTGCCCAGAACTACACATTGGTACTCGCCGCTCTCCAAGCGTGCGTGCAGCTCGTCCCACGAGGACGGGCCTATGGAAATGCACATGTCAACATCGTGAGGGCGCCGCGAGGCGAGGGCGTGTAACTCGCGGTGGTTGAGCACGAAGGCGTCAAAGTGTAGCGAGTTTGCCGTCAGTAGCTCACGGATCCGGTAGTGCTTGTACCGTGATATCCCCTGGTGCACGAACTCGTAGTAGTCCCTGAGGGCACCATTGGAGAACCCGATCTCCACGGCACTGCTGAGAAGACTGGTCCAGCAGTACGGCAGATGCTCCCGGCTCCTGACCTGGCCGAACCAGCCCGCCCAGGACCAGGAGGGAAAGCCGCGCCGGCGTTGGGCCTTGGGATTGGTTTCAGGGTTCCATGGAAGTTCCAGGTTCGATGGCATCTGTTGAAACTGCCGCGGAAATTGATAGTCAAAGTTGTCGATTTCGTGTGACCAGGTCAGGGCGTAGCTCAGATGGTCAAGTCCCTCCTGCCTGTTGCCGCCTTTGGGCAAAACCAAATTGGCAATGGGGAACGGGATGGGAATGCCCGCCAGGCTGGCAATCTTGGCCGTCGTCTTGGCGTAGAAGCGCGCAATGGCGGCAAAAGCGTTAAGCACGTCGTCCTTGTTGGTCAGCTCGCGCCGAGTGTACTGCGTAATTTGATACTGGCACCGACGGAGCATGTCAATCTTACGGTGGTTGGCCTTGTTGTGCCGCACGTCGAGGTGCGAGTACGGCGTCGAGTTGCCGCACACAAACTGCCCCGCGCGATGGTAGGCTCGGAACCGCTGGCCGTTTCGGGTGTGGATGATGTCGAGGTTGCTCTTGAAGGACTCGGCCTCGTTCATGGCGTTGCACTCAAAGTAAACTTGATGGTCGGTGAAGAAGAGACGACGTGTCGAGAAGAGCCCTTCCTGGTAGGTCCAACCCCGCGTGTTCCACTTCGTCTGCTGAACGGACGCGTGCGGGTCTGGCATGGTTGATATGAAGCGGAATGCGCCGCTGCGGGCCTCTTCCTGGCCCAACCGGGGCGTTGAGCTCACCCCCGGGAGCCCGGCATTGGAGTCGTCTCCGAGGGCGAAGATGGCCACATGAGACCCGGCATAGATGTCTCCCATGCGGCTGAACTGCTCGCGTTGCTCCTCGGGGTTGTTTTGATCGATGCAATACTTGTCAACCCAGAGGTACTGGCATCGTAGGGCCCTGGTCACCTCGATCGCATCTCGAATGGTCAGGGGAATGTCTGCTGGGAGCTTCAGCATGGTGCGCTTGGTGGTGCCCCTGGCTCTGGGTACAGCCCCTGCAGTTGGACCAGTGGTTCCAGATTGCCCCCAGACGTAGCTCAGGGCTACGTACTTGTTGCCGGGTTCGTAATCTTGAATGGTGAGGTGTGCAGATCTGCAATCAATGACTCTCATCCCTTTCACCTCTGGTGGTTTCGGGTTGCAGCGGCTCCGGTGACGCTTACACGTGTTCAACCAGGAGCGGACCTGTCTCGGGTCAAACCTTTCGGGGATCGGCTGGGGTTGGAAGATCCTCGACTCCGGACGACCGTCAGGCAAGACCACAACCAGGCCCCTGGCATCAATGTGTTCTTTCAACCCCTCTCTCCACTTAGGGGCGATGGGGACGACGGCAATATGGTATGGTGCTTCGTGGATTCGGAGCGCATTCCTCCCCGACTGAAAGTCGCTGACGTGGGGAATGTATCGCAGATTTGGAAAGACGTGGATTCGGTCTCCAACATCCTCAATGACCTTGCGCTCAACCCAACGCCGACGCTCGAGAAAGTTCTCTATCCAGGGGGCGTGGAGCTGGCGGCAGAGCATACAGGCTGTATTGGGGTCCAACTTTCGGAAGCGCCGTCCCACATCGGCGACCGGCCGGCCTTTCCACGTGAAGCGGAGCCTTTCGTTGACGATCTGCTCGATACTGTCCCAGTTGATTGCCGAACACTCATCGCAGAGTGTACTGGTGCTGATAGTTCGCAACTTGACATTCGATGGCGCCCGACACTCTCGCTTGGGGGCTAAGCTGCTGCTTCTGTCGCGTGATACCTCACGTCCCCTCTTGCCCAACACGGAAACACACGGTGACGCGGAATGTTGCTCAGCGTCTCTGCCTCTAGTCCTGTCATTAGAGACCTGTCATTCTTCCCATTAGAGGCTAAACTTTGACGATTCTTGTGTTTGGATCAGCTGGTACTCACAGACCGTCGCTGGGCGTGCGGGGAAGATCTTCTGATAGTAAGGGCCCTTCTAGGAGAACTTGTCCGCCTGGTCAGGTTGCGGTTTTGGTGTTGACTCACAGGAGCCATGATGTTCACTGCGTGGGGAGGCATTGTGTCCGTTTCGCATTGATTGCTTCAAATTGTTGCAGCGGATTCGAGTGGCTGAGTAGTCCAGTCACTCGGATCTGGGATTTAATGCCGTTCGTTGTGAGTTTTAGCGTGACTCATTCGACAGACATGACGCGTGAACGGGGATGTTTCAAGTTGCTGCTAGAACCGATCGAAGCGGCAGCCGCCCGCCTCGCAGAAGCCACCGTTTTGGTGAGCTGGGTTGAACCAATCGACCTCCAGCGCAGCCACACCACATGCGGGGAGCTCTCCAATCATCGCACCTCAAATTACCTCGCATGAAATATTCGATACTGAAAAGGCGTTGTGTTGAGCTCAGTCCCGTCGGCTACCGGGCTACTTGAAGGTGTGCCCCGGAAACACGCTCTCGCTGTGGGGTAGATTCGTTCTCGGATGACGATTGGGAGGCAGGGCAGTGGCGGGTGATCGTGGGGCGGATGGTGATGATGAATTGGGTGTCGAGGAGACCGTGGTAGACGCGTGGAGACATGATAACGTGGAGCAGGGTCGCGCGGAGGTAGTTCCGAACGTCGGTGGGTCCCAGCAACTTGGAGTTCGTGTGGCTGCCACGTTAGAAGGCCGATCGGGGGAATAATTGACCGGGTGTCTATCCTAGGCCCGTGGTGATACTGTCTGCCAGGAACTGTCCTCACCGGCAGGCAACGGTAGGTAGTGCTCTTAAGTCTGGCTTGTTTCTCAATTGCTACGAGCTACCTAAAAAGTTCCTCGCAGTTTTCACTCTCGATTCAGCCGTCGCGCTCCGGGTTGCGGCTCAGCCAGGTGGTGTGGTGGTTGTCGTTGAAGATTTAGCAAATGAGAGCGGCCAGGGCTTGGAAATTGCCCCACAAGCCCTGCAGCCGGTGGTTATTTCCAAGTGTGCCTTCCTCCTCCACCAAACAACACTCACAGCTCTGCTTGCACGGTTTCCCGGCGCCCATGTCCTCTGGGTCTTTGCCTGGACGGAATTCCCGCCCGTCATGGAAAACCGATGAACAGCCTGAGGTTCCCACGGCCCTCGACCCGCAGTGCGCAGTCTCCAAGCACAGTGCTCCACAATCTTCTTGGCGTACATCATCCCGCATTCGATAGTGCTAGTCTTCAGTTCAGCTCGTATCCACTCACCTCAAGGATTTTCGCCTCTCCTAACCCGTAATAGGAACGCCAACTAGGTCTCTCCGGGCATGGCTTGTTAAACATTGGGGCTGGGGGAGGACATGGACGCTGCTACAAAAAGAAGGCGCTCGCTCGTGCCGACTCAACATGTGTTTCCGCATCGTCAAGGCATCGTGGACTCTGACGTCCGCGAACCCTTGAATCCAATCCTACCACGATGAAGTTCAGCATCAACGCCTCCCTGTTAGGAATTGCCAGCCTCCCCGCCGTTTCCGCCGGCATCGGCAACGGCCCGGTAATAACAACAGCGCCCGAACCGACACGCATCGCGGCAAGAGCGACAACCTCATTCTACTCCTTCGTGACCACTCCCATTCCCAATAACGACCGCTCCATCGGCATGGGCCTGCAGCGAGAAGGTACCGACGAATACTGTGAGTCTCCCCTCACAAATGGTCCTCGTCTTACCGAATTGATCGCACGCCTGACGGGACGATGCAGATTGGCTCTACTGCATCGATGAGCCTTTTACCGTGAGAAGCGGCTTCGCCGGCTGCGGCAACGACGACGTATACACCACCTGCTCCGGGCGCGTCGCGTCGGGGATTGATGGAGATGAGATTCGATGGTGAGCACCAGCTAGCTGATAGCGACTTTCATTTCTGACATTTGGCAGCGATCAACAATGCGTGACGCACAAGGTGTACAAGGACCTCGATGTTACGACGTTTACCCCCCTTATCGGCTGCGGCAGGGGGACATCGACCATGAACTTGGTCAGGACGTCGACGGGGTCAAATTCTCCCAAGACAGGCGGGGTAACCGGAACAACAAGCGCAGCTACCTCTGCTGTGACGACAGGGCAGTCGGCCGGTTCATGCCTTGAGATGGGGCGTTGGTGGTTCTTGGTTGGACTGTCCTCGGCTGTATTGACAATACTTTGAATCTATGCGCACGCTGGGGAAGGCACCGTCGCCATCTCAAGCTACATTGCAAACTGAATATCAGAACATATCCCGACGAGCTGAGATACAAGAAGGCTTCAAATCTCTCTCTTGGGTAGCGTTAGCATCACTGTGTGCACTAACACGAGGGATGGATGCAACCCGCAATTGCTCCGCCACAAACCAGGCATCCGCCGAGATAGTTGGGAAGCCAAAAGCTACGACGGGCGCAAAAAAGGGGCTCAGCCAGGGCTCGAACCTGGGACCACTTGCAAGCACCTGAATGGATAACCCAAAGCAAGTATGCTACCACTACACCACAGAGCCGTGTCTTGGACGTTTGTTGCCGTGCCTTATCGCAATATCTACGCTTCCTCCCTTCTCAGAATCGCCACGAATCAGGACTGCCACAGCAGCAACTTGAACAGCAACAATCCCGGAACCGTGGCACAAAAGAAAAGAACCTGGGCCAGGGTTCGCATTCGAGGTGGAAGCAAAAGATCCAAGACGACTGGTTCATGGTTGGAGTTGAGAAACATGATGCTGAGCCTGAGGGATGCGGGTGCCCGACAAGCCATTCGAGGTCGTGGTCAAAACCTCGACCTCCTGACAACTGCAATGTCGAAGCCATTGTCACAGATGACTCGGAGTCACCCGGTCCAGCCTCACTAGGCCCAGTGCCGGAAGCGAGCACTGAAATGTCAGGCTGTCAGGAAGTTGACGAGCAAGCGCTTCATTTTTGTATGTCGTGCGTAACAGCTTGCGCCTTGGACCCTGTGGCGCCCCTTAACTATGCCCAGAATTCTTTCGAACATGACATGAAGCTCGTTAGGCAGTTCGTTGATCAGGCGTCGCAACTCCGAGATGCTGTGGCTGTCCGCAAAGCCTGATTCGAGCGATTGACAAGCCAGGGCGACCCAGAGAAGTACACCCCTTGCTTTGTCAGAAAGATCTTGAAGGATTTCATCGACTTCTTGCTCATGTCTTCGCTTCAGTCTGAGAAAGCAGGGATGGAGCCCGGTTTGATCCTGAACATATTGAGTGTTGTCGTCTATGGCGAGGTGATGGAGGTGTAGTTGAGGAAGTTCGCCGAATGCCAAAACACACTCCGGGATCGGCCGACTGGAAACCAAAACTTTGGCGCGGAGATTCGCTTCAGCGAGCCATGGACAAGTACTGCGGCACGAACTGCCCTGAGCTGAAGACACAAACAATTCAGGGGGCGAATGAATGCTCTTTGCCTGTCGTGGTGGGGGAGCAGATTGACGTTTGGCTTGATGAGCTGCTAGGTCAACATTCCCACTAGGTTGGGACATGCGAGGTTAAATCACTTTGATTTTGACAAGTTGTCTGAAGAGGTGTTCGCGTGACAACATGAGAAGGTGGCGAGTTGGAGTCTTCTACGGAGGCTTGAAACGCAGCCATAAGAGAGTTTACGCGCGGCTTTGGGAAAATAGTCTTTTAGCGCCAAATGTCAACGCCCATATGCGAGCGCCTGATCTAAGATAAAGCCAAAACGCGTGACGGGGACAACAAGATCAAAGTTCGGGCTTCTCGGATGTGAAGAAAATGAGTCAAAATCCTGTTATGATAATTCTCCCCTCTCTCCCCGACCAACTCCTCCTCGCAGATCGCTCATCCTAACAAGAACAGCAGTCGCCTCATGAGCAATATTCTCCTTCAGCTGCAACCGTGTCGTCATTTCAAATCATTTCTGACGTTCACCTCGAAAACCATTCTCGCTATGGCCAGTTCAAAAACAAAGCCACCGCACTATATTTAGCTCTCCTGGGTGATATCGACTGCGTCCAACAAGACGGTGAGTCACCTTCGACCTACCACCGGGCCAAGTATGTGCTAAGATGCCCCAGCCAAAAAAGGCATCTTCAGAAACATGATACTGCGTCTCTTAAGGCAGTACACATCCATATTCTACGTCCCTGAGAACCTATTCAACGGATTTGAGCGCCGAGCTTTGCTGGCGAGGCTATATGGTTGATCTGTGGGCGTTTGGGCACACGCATTACAATTGCGACTATTACGACGACTTCGAGAAAAGGGTGTTTGCAAACCAAAAGGGGTACGTCATGACTGGTAACTCGAAGGAATACGATCCGGAGAAGGTCATCATTGTTTGAGATAGCGACGGACAAGACATCGGCTGGAGAGGAAAGGAAGGTGGTGCAACACCCAGGTGTACAAAATTGGAGGTAGCAACAAACCGAATATGTAGCCATGTTCCTGCAGCTTAGATACATTAGCCTAGTAAAGCTTAGCTCGGCCGATTATCAGATGACTGCGCATCGAGACCTGCTCTTTGGGTGGTGAGAGGCCTGAGAAGTTAGACTCTGCAGCCCGAACTCAGTCACACAGACGTCTAACTGCTTGCCTCGGTGAAAAAGTGCTCCTTGAGCCATGACGCCGCAAGCTCGGTGCCTTCTGGGGTCTGTATCCAATGGCCACCCTCCTCATGCTCTTTCGAATCGACCTTTGCACCGAAGGCGAGAAAAGTATCTCTGAGCTGTCTTCCATACTCGATCTTGACAAGAGGGTCATCGATGCAGTGCTGCCAATGAACCGGAGTGTTGAGAACGGCCTGGCCATCCGTTGGAACCCCCTCCAATCCCAAAATTTTCCTTGTCTCTTCGATGCTTCGCTCGGGATAAGGAAAGCGGCTGCAAAACGTCATCAACCCTCCTAATCGAGGAATATCTAGATTGATGATCGTGTGCGCTGGTGATCGATGTCAGCTACTTTCATCCTAGAACAATATTTGCATGTCTCGGGGGGTGGAAAAGAAGTCACGTCCTCAAATCTCTTGAGACGAATTGGGAAGAGGACGAAAGGGGCAAATAACAGTAGCAATTGCACATACCCGCGACGGCGCCTCCCTGACTGATGCCCGCCAAGATAATTCGAGTGTGGCCTCCATCCACCAGGGCCGCCTCGGACTCGACAATCGCACGGATGCTGTCCACGCTCTCGCGTAGACCAGGCAGCTGCAACTCTTCGCGCTCGGAGAGATTCTGAATATCCCACGTGTCGAACCACTGGTTCATTTGTTCCTTCGGAAAGCGCGCAAGGGGGCGGCGCTCGCTCTCAGGGAAAACCCATCGGATAGAGGGAAAGAGCTCGGGCAAGGCGCAATTTTGAGAGTCGGTGGTGATAGCGATGCTAGCTGCGAACGCCGATGCGGTGTCACCGCGCCCGTGGAGGAAGATGACCGTGTGCGTGTGACCCGCACCTGGTTGCGGGTTGATGATTTTGCATTTCAGATGGTGGTGTTTCATTTTGGCAGGATTCGTGGCGGAGTTGACTGCAAGGTCGAACCAGGCCGCGTGATTGTCGATCGCGTCCGTTGATCAGCGAGGATACAGGTGCGACTTCGCATTCCAGCACAGTGCTGATCAAGATAGTCAAACTTCGCGCTGTCTCCACATCTGTCAGCACCTTCTGCTCGAGGTTGAAAGCAGTGATTGCCAACCACGCACCAGCAGTAAATTCGTTGTTGATCCATAAAGTCTCTTGGCCCATGAGGGGTAGCGCCGAAAAATCGTTCAAGGGTTGGTGCCTAGCCAGAACCAGGCGGCCTTCAATCCTGCCCAGCGCATGCGCCTCCAACTGCCGAGTCCCGATAAGAACCGCAAAAGAATCAGCGGCCAGTGACGGATCGGATGGAGGAAGCTTGGCAGGCAAGATCGGACTGACATCATTGCAGGACCCGCTCCCAGGTTTCGAGTCGGCGAGATCACTGGGTCGGACCCTGGCAGTGTCGCTTTGAAGGATCAAAAGCCATGAGAGGCTGATGGATGCTGAGCCTCTCCGCCCGTTCAATGGCTGAAACGGCCGTGCGCCCAGAACCGCCTCACGTCATGCTAACCAACGGCGCAGCAAGGACCCTGGTATTTAAACCCACCTTTTCCCATCCAGCACTGATGCTCCATTGCGTCGTCCGAGTCTATTCCCAACCTCATCAGCCACACGCATCACCAAAAGCGGTTACAGTTTAGAAACGCCAGGATGCCCGCCTTTCTGCTACCCCCAGGCACTCTGCACGTTCGCCAATCATCGTCCTTTCCATCATCGGGTTCCAGTCTGCATAGTGGCCTCCACCCTGGAGCCATCTTCGGGATTGTCGCCGGCGTCATGTTCCTCATTATCATCGTAATATGGTGCGGCTTCTTTAGGGTGTGGAAGAGGATGATGGAGAATAAGGAATACGGCGTCCTTCCGTCAGTTCGAATTGCTGCTCAAGGCTTCGGAGGAAACAACAACAACAATAACAGGCCCTACGATGGGCAGGGACCGAACCTGAACAGCCCCTACGGCCCTCAACCAACGCAAGCCTACGGCCTTCAGCCAACAGGGCCTTACGACCCTCAAACTCCAGCAAACGCCTACGGCAGGCAGCCTACGAACTCATATGCCCCTTACGGAAGCGATCCCTACGATAGTCAAGCCCCTCCGCCGTACGGCGGCGCACAAACGAGCGGGCTAACAACGCAGCCACCGCCACCGAGCCACGGCAGATCTCCCAGCACCGCGTCGATGAACAAGCCGCTTCCGTCGCCTCATGGTCCCCAGGGCGGGCCGCAAGGGGAAGGATCTCAACGTCCGTTTTAAGAATAGGGGGTTGTAATACCGAGAGGAAACCGCCGAGGATAAAGCATTGTGTTTGATGGGCATGTAATACCATACAGCGAGGCGTTTTGGGTCATTCAGAGGTTCACATTTTTTCTAATTTCGAGAGATACCACCATATGCAGAATTGGCATTCCATTTCGAAAAGCTCGCGCAGTTTTCCGATCATCCTCACAGCCATCAAGGCTCTACATACTGGTAACATAAGAACTCCCCTTGGATGTCCATCACATCCGCAATCGTCTTGTTCGGGCTATTCCCATACATGTTCAACACATGCCCCAAAGTTGTCACGGTCCCCGGATCTCCATCCGCACCAGTTGGCTTTCTACTCCATGTCAGCATCTATCTCACTCAAGCCACACACAGAGTCAACCCACGGTATACTCGCCGGCCTAGGCGGGAACCCCCGCCTATTATCCGGCATGATATTCGTCCCCGTAATCCCCCCCGTCCTGTTGGCCCGATCTCTCGCTTGCCAGTCCCAGAAAACCTTATCCAACCACGTATGGTGCAGATAGAAGATTGGGTCCCCTGGACTGCTCACTCCATTGATCATCTGTCCTCCCACGCCGCCGTGTCCTCCGCCGTGTGGGGCGTCTTCGATACATGGCCAGGCGGTTCCGAAGTCGGGTTTGGCGAGACAATTGCCAACGTTGGCTTGGGAAGAGCGCGCGCTCATGGCG